ATTCATTACATTGAGCTGTTTTAGACTAGAATTTCTAACAAAAGGTGATCTTTATACGAAGCATCCACCAAATTCAATTTTATTTTTAAACGTGATAAATAGATGGTAAGTAGAGACAATCACTATAGTGTTGCATTAACAGTAAATATAATGATACATTTATTTAAAAATAAATTGACAAATATCAAAAATTAAAATTTAAGCAAATTATTTCATTGAAAATTTTGTTACTTGTTTTTTTTGTTTTTATTATCTACTTATTTGTAATATTTCTTTAATATTCTCTTTACTTTGACTTTTATTTAATTACTTTGAGTAAATCTTGCTTAAGGTTCATATTTTCAAGATTTATTTTGTTTATATTCAATAGGAGTGAATTTTTATGTAAAAAAAGTTATGTCAAATATATTTGTGGAGAATGTCGTAGCTAACAACCTTTAACAAATAATCAAAAACTAACATCACTAATGTATTTAACACCTTCAAAAACTCACCTATACTAAAATTCAATATATTGCATTGTTTTTTCTGGGAAAAATTATGACAAAAATTTAATTAATCTATCTCAAACACAAGAGATGATAGACCCATGGTTCATTGGAAGAAAAATCTTATTTTTTGATGTTCTGTCAACTGCTGAAATTATGAAAACTACGGGGCTGGACATAAAAAATGTTAGCTAATGAGTTTCATTCTGTAATTTTACCTAGAGCTTTTAAATTCTTTGTTTGAACTGATTTTATGAACAATATGATGAAATAATGGCTTTGCAGAGGGTATTCTAAATATATGCACTTAAAAAATCATACTTACTAAATCAAATACCCTACATAAATATGAAATTTTGGTATTAGCAAATAGGTATGGATGCATATGGTTCAATAAAGCTATCAGTTTTTTTTTTCTAAAAAACATTCCTAATACAATTTTATAATTTTTGAGTCTTTTGAACACAGTAAGCCATGAAATTGGGGTGAAAAATTTCTCACGGGAAGGTAGATCTCTAAGCTATAAAAAGAATATGAAAATCAACCAATGCATTCTAAAATATAAGAACTATGCTACTCAAAACTTCAAACACGAAATTTCAATTTGAAACAAAATATTTCGTGTTCTAAGTCGAAATTTCTTGTTTGAACATGAAATTGTATGTTTCGAGTTTCAGTTTCAAATTTCGTGGTTGAACTTGAAATTTCGGGTTCCAACTAGAAATTTGATAAACACCGAATAAATAAAACGTGGCCTTTCTACGCTTACGAAGATGCATGATCATCATATTATCATATAATATATGATATTTACAGCTAAGCATACCAAAAATTTCTCTATAATTGTCATAAATTAATTGAGAATTTCCAATTTTTCTTCAATCTAACAACAAATCGTTTCTGCATGAGCGCTATTTGACCCACAAAATAATATTATGCCCATATAAATTTTGGGCATTAAACTAATGGGTGTGCTTAGAACGAGGGGTAGAGATACTATTTTTAATTATTGAACACTACATTATACAAAAATTATTCGGATTCCAAATTTTAAACATCAATCTTCCCTTTTAATCTTGCGTCCGTGATAGAAAATTTCAACCACCGTCTGACCATAATAAATTGTAGTCAAGTCAGGTTCATTCCTCACTCTAGTTTAATTATGTTGGCAAATTGTCTTTGTTTCTTTGTATGTAACAATGGGTAAAGAAAGAAATGGACAGTTGTACCGTTACTAAGGCATTTGTTTCATATAATGTTCTCTGTTCTTCATGCGCAAAATATAATTTAAAAAATGGTATAATGTTATCTACTCTCAAAAGTCTCAAGTGAAACGTTCTAGATTATGACGCCAAAAATATGTCAAATATGCGTTTAAGTAGTACTTATATACTTATTGTTCTTTAGTACCTATTACGCGTATATTATGAAATCAAACACTGCATTCCCCAAAAATAAACTACCAACGTCAACGTGGTGATTATAAACATTGAGACTGATTACACAAATCAATATAGAATCAAACTTCTGGAAAATATGCGTCCTTAATAATATTAAGTGATAAATTTCAAATTCTAATAACTAATGACTATATCAGACAAACATCTTTTATCTGTACTACACATCTATTTGAATAAAATAATTTTATTGAAATACGAGCTTTCTAAGATATTCTTTTATTTAATTTTAAAATATTTCAGTACAACTTGGTACAGGGCGATTGTTGGGGGAATATAAGCTCAGTTTCTTTACCTAAAACAGAGATCATTAACAACACATTAAACAGATTTTTCTTTTCTGTAATTTTTTTTAGCTTTCCAATTTTCTGCAGTTACAGACGACCGAACATTTAGGGGTAAAATTTAATTTTTTTGCTATTCAAACATTTATTTTTCTCCAACCGTCACAAAACCTATGATATTTTTGACTGTCTGTCTGTCTCTAAGACCGAGAAAAAAAATGGAATCCTAGCAACAAAAGTATTCCCTTTTAATCCTAGTAGCTAAAGTTTTAATTTATAAAAGTTTATTCAACAATATTTACCAAAATCCACATTGATATTAAATACACAGTTTAAACATGTATCAAAATTAAATAAACCACTGAAACTGCCACTACCGTCATTCTTCGGGAAATTCTCAAAGCAGTCCAACAAGTTTTCATTAATAGTTATATTATTTTCAGATGTTGTGGAATCAGAAATGACAACGGTGCTTGGTTTATCATTACCACTATCAACTTTCAGTATTCTTTTCGCAATATTTTCTTTATTTAAAAGTGAATCTTCAATGTAGCCTTCCGCCACAGTGCTCGATCCCCATAAAAAAGATTTTTATTTTTTATTTCAAAGTTTTCAAAGATATTTAATCAAATTGTACACACAGTATATGGACTACGCACTATAAAGGGGAATAATATTGTTTCCATTCTACCAGTGGCGGAGTTATTGGTAACCACTAACCAGTGACATTTATTTAGCAAAAAAGTGATTCGACCCTGGATAAAATTAAACAAATTATCATTTAATTCTGAACAATAGTCGTCCCTTGATATTTTTTCAAATCTGTCACTGTTGCTCCACAAATAAAATTCTTAGGATCTATTACTTTATATTTTACGAAGATTTTGTTTCTGGGGGAAAATACAAAACACGCTCGGCTTTAAAAAAAATTCTCCACCTTTTCCAAAACTGCAATAAGATAGTAAAAAACGGCTTGATATGGATTGCAAAGATGTAAAGTACCTACAATTAACAAAAAAATAAAAGTAACTTTATGTAAAAAACAGATTTTCTTAATAATAGACTGCCCTCACATTATTGAGTCTAGAGTTATTGTCCAGGAAATATTTCGAATTAAATGTCAATTCTTCGTGAATATCTACTAGCCTAGCATAAACTTAATTTTTTTGGTAACCCGAAACAAAGTAGTCGAGGTGTGTTAGATCTGGACAACGCGTTACAAACTCACCTCGTCCTATCCATCTATTCTGACAATTTGTATTAAGTTGAAAATACATTTGTTTCTCTTAAATTGAAAGGAAGACCATGCACAAAGTCAAATAAATCATTGTTCAGGAACTCAAGAAAAGGTTGACCATTAATTCTACTTGGCAGAAAACAATATCTTCCGTTATACGTATCCATACGTTCTCTGTGAATTTACTACTCCTCTTCAAATAAAACACGCCTCATCTGTTGATTCTTGTGATCAAAAGTGGAGATCCAAATTGTCAAGAAGCCATCCACAGAAAGTTAAGCTCTTCTGGATCTTGTGGATGTAACTGTTGCGCGAGTTGGTAATGAAAAGCTTTTTAATGATGTCTTTTTAATGTCTTCCAGATGGTAGTTTTTCTCAAATGCGTCGTTGTGCGAGTGCTTAAACTGCTGTCTTCGGGCTCCATATTCTTGTTGTCTGCCACATAAGCCCTTATTATGTAAAGGCTAATGCACACTTACCAAAACCTTGCGATGTGGACGCCGGCGATTTAGAAATCTTCTGGCATAATATCGAACACCTTCTACCTAATCTCCATTGTAGTACCGATAAAGGAAATTGATATCTGCTCATTCGCAAATTGAAAAGGCATTGTTGCGACTTTGAATATCAAACATAAAACCGCTACCAAACATTCACCGAAATTACAAATCACACAAATTGGCAAATTCATCTGCATTGATCTAACCTTGTTCTCCATAACAATCTACTGATTTGCTTGAAATTCTAACAGAAGTATCAATGAGCCTGAAATTTTCTGAAAACCAACGGTGACGTATACGAAAAAGTCTCAAGAGACAGCTTTTGTTTAGAATTCATCCAACAATAACTTATTTGATTTTGTCCAGGCCCGTACCACTTTTTTGCTGAATTAATGTCACTGATTACCCATAACTCTGCCATCGGTAGTTAGAAATTTAATATCATTCCATTTTACGGCCGTCATGTATGTACTGTGTGTGCAAAATTTGGTTTAAATATCTTTGAAAACTTAAACTAAACTTAAAACAAAAACATATTTTTTTATTATAACTCATACCTTATACCTTCTTTTTTTATATGAAACTTTTTGCTTAAAAATAATTTTTCTATTACCTGTTTTATTTAACGCACTTAAAATGGGGACAATATTTAAGCAAATAAATTATCTATTTACTTATACTCAAGGTTATAATTTCGAACTAAATAAAATTATTTTACTTACTTACTAATAAACATGTTTTTATTGAAAAATGATTTCATTAATTCCGGATTATACAGATATACCAAATGAATGTATTCTTGATCCAAATATAATTTTTTCCATGTACTTTTCCTGATGCCGAAACTATAGAACTGTCTACTGCTGCTTAAATTATATTTACAAAAAAAAAATAGTTTCTGGAATTTGGCGTATCTACTTGATTACTAAATATTCTTTTGATTAAACCTGTTATGAAAATGTACCTGTAGTTTTATTTTGTTAAAAAACAAGGTTTACAATTTTATTTTCTAACAAACTTCTATTATATTTTAGCTGAACTTCAGAATACTCCATCTAACAAGGATTGCAACAACCAGGCGTCTTCAAATATACCGTTATGGAGTACCACTGGTGTCCTGATATTCATAGCAGTAATAAGACAGACACCCTTCCAATAAACATTGATGTAGAAATCGGAATTTCTCCACGAGCAGATGTAGAAAAATCAGAGCCTTTTTAACATGTCTGATATTTGTCAGAGGCAATATGGAATTAATGAACTGGTTTAGATTTCTGCTTTTGCTATGTAGAATCAATCAATATCTATGTCTAGTTCACTCTGGATCAGAGCCATAAATATATGAAAATACCTAACGGAAAAATGTGTGTATGTTATACCGCTTATTTTTGGGGGTGATATTTTATTTGTATACTTTATAAACAAATCGAAAATGTAACTTAAAATTGTCTCATTTTTTTTTTAGTTTTGAAACTTAATTTTCATGATTTTAAAAACAATATATAGGTATATATATTTTCTGAATTTGAATAAATAAAATGAGAATTTTTATAATTTTGAACGTCAATGAAGCCTCCTAGCCAAAAATGACGTAAATGAAAGTTGTTCAGTTCATTGGCGGAAAGCGGTTGCTGACCTTGAATTTGACCTTAACCGTGACCTTGAAGGTCAACTTCATAATTTTAAATGGTACCCTCTATTTTTTTATCCTGGAAATGGACTCGGAAAAAAATTTTTACATCCAGACATGATCTCATCTGTCAGGGTCAAGGTCACAGCGCATTCAAATAATTCGTCACCCCTGCAGCAACCTCGGAATAAGATGTTTGCTCCCAAATTCGATGGGATTTTCATCAATGTACATACTCAGTCATGACCTTGATCTTAACCTTCAAGGTTATTGGAAGGTCGACTACAGAAAGCTACCTTAATGACCTCAACAAATGTGTTTAGGGATGTTCGGGACCATGGATCGGTGATCTTAGATTTAATCTTGAAGGTCATTTGAAGGTTAACTTTGTTTCTTTTTATATCGGTGCCTGTATTCCTGAGTTAGATCCTTGGAAAGGCGGTTCTACACCCGAGTACGTTGTGACGTAATCATCTTCCACAAATGGTGTGATATTTTTAATTTTTTTTTCAATTTTTCACCGTCAGTGAATCTCACTTACTTTGTAACGTACTCAAATATGTCTTTTTCAATTATCAAGCAGAGTTCTGCCTTTGTTGAATAACGAGTAATTTTTTTCGTTCTCCCCGCACCCATTTGTCACATTATTTGTTCTTGGGATTGATAATACAGAACCTTCATAAATAATTAGAAGCCACGTGACCAGTAATTTTATTTCCTTCACGTTGGCAATTCAATTACGTTAAAATTATAACAATAAGATCAAGATTTCATTAAAATCCAACATTCCATTTCATCGGCTGGTGTTTGATGTAATTTTTCACTTGATTCTATTCAATCAAACAGCGAGCGTATTATGTCGAGCGTAGACATGACAGTTTGTCATTGTTTATTATGAACGAATTATTAATATTGGTGAGAGATTTTTAAATTGGCTGTACCAACAATGTATTGTTGGTTGCCTAAGATCGGCGGTCACGTGGCTTGTAAACATTTATGAAAGCTCGGTACCTAACACCAATATATTACATTGATCCGTTATTAATTTAATTGCATATTGAGAAAGGCAGTATGGCGTCAACGTCGGAGCAACGTGAACTCGTTGTGACCTTGACCTTAACTGCAAGGTCAAAGTTAAGATCACATCCGGATGTAAACTTTTCTGCCAAATCTATTCCTATGGTAAAAAATAGGGGGTCCCATTTAAAATTATCAAGTTGACCTTCAAAGTCACGGTTAAGGACAAATTCAAACAACCGCTTTCGCCCAATGAACTATACAACTTTCATTTAGGTTATTTTTTAATCGGAGGCTTCACTGAGGAGATATTCACGTGTATCGATTAAAATAGGACACGAGGTATATTTTTATGAAACACTAAAACAAGATTACCCTATTGTCTGTACACTTATTATCTTAATATTATTAATATATGATATTATNGCTGTGATATTAACTATGACACGTTGAAAAATATAATTGGTTTATATATTGAAAGATTGCAAACTAATGCATGAATCTATTCATGATTTATGCCAGGTTCATCGTTTTTCTTTCTTTCTTTTTTATTTTCGTTAGTTTTTAGTGTTTAGTTGAAGGTCTATTCTTTCTGTATGTTTCCTGTAATTGGGTATTTTATTTCCTGTTGGAAATAAAGGTTATTATTATTATTATCATTATCATTATCATTGTCATTGTCATTGTCATTGTCATTGTCATTGTCATTGTCATTGTCATTGTCATTGTCATTGTCATTATCATTATCATTATCATTATTATTATTATTATTATTATTATTATTATTATTATTATTAGTCAGAAAAATTAATGAACAAAGAAATTCAGGATTTCATTAATGTAAAATCTAATTATTATACGTACATACCAATATAATAGGAAATTGGTATTTCTAATATTTAGATATTAGATTTTAAGAATTCAAAACCTGTTTTTAAGACAAACGTACCATAACTCTTAGGGATAGCAGAATATTAAATGTAATAGTAATATAAAATGGTATGAAAAACGAGGTGGTTTAGCGAATTTTGACAATATATTTTTTACGTAAAATTAATAAGTGGGTACATAAGAGAATCTTAACTAATGAGCTCTGAATCCTAACCTAAAATATATTAAATAAAATATTCTAGGTTTGCAACATAAAAACGGTAGGTATGCTGTTGCCAAATTTCTATATTGGTTGATTATTTTTTAAGATATCTGTAAAATTCAATTAGAAATCAATCGATTAATCAATTAATGGTACAAAAGAAAAAAATAATAAACATTGATCATTTTCGAATGAAAAAGTTTTAGCGTTGAATGTGAAAGAAACTACAATACCTATAATATCAATATATACAAGATTTATTAATTTTAATTAATTAATACAATTATAGTTAATGATTTCAATAAGGGCAGAGGCCACTGATATTTCTGGCACGTACATAATCTAAAAACAACAAACTGCATCATTATTCACAACAAATAAAATTAAAGTAGTTTATATTTTGAAATTGCGATTTGTTGATAAAGTATTTTCTTTATTTTTATTTTAAGTTTTTCATTTTGCTGTTAAAAAAAAGTGATACTGAATAAATTAAAAACGAAGTATCACCTCCTGTCCTATTGAATTAAATGTAAATAATTATTTGCCATAAATTTTTGGCCCTCTTCCAGAGTCAAATGGAATCGCTTATGAAAATGAATTTCATAAACCCGGCCTTATTTAAGGGCTGCAATGCGGTTGGAATTGTCGAATCGCTAAACGGATCTTTATTTTGTAAACTTTATAAATCCGTTCATGACACTTATACTGAAATTATCAAAACTACCATATTTATTTTTCAATTTTTAACCAGTTAATTAATTATTATCTAGAGTTTTTCGATTGTAGACACTTTTTGAACAAAAGTACGTTTTGTGACAACCTATAGGTACAAAAAATTTTAGAGAGTAAAGAATATACTTTTTCACTATAAAATTTATTGCTAATGTTGTATAAGCCAAGCTTCAACTGCATGTAATCAATTGCAATTTTAAGTCAAAAAATTCTAACCTACACTGTCCGAGCAAATATACAATGTGTACCATTGAAGGTTGCATCATCAGTTTCTTTATTTTTCTAACTTTCGTTTTCGTTTTGTTCTTATTGTCATTTTTTATCATATTTTTTATTGCATTTCTTATTTTCATTAATTACATTTTGTTGAATTAATTAATTTGTTGATTATTCTTGTTTAAGAATTTTTGTTTAAAACCGAGACACATTTAGTGGTTACCCCCATATTTAGTTCTGATTCTGTTAAACTTTAAGAACTTTAAGAAGTCAAAGTAATACTAGGCTGCAGCATATGCAGATTTTTCCAGAAGAAAATGCTAGTTGAAATTGCTGTTTAAAAAAGCATGACGACGTTATTCAGGGTAAGAAAAAATGTTTCTTAATAATTTATTACCTACATATTGTCCTCAAATATCTCAAAATAGATTTGAAAAATTTTGCTTACATACCTATCACTAAATGTTATCATTTTGCTACACTAAATATAAGTTTTAAATGACACGGCAATGAAGTTGTAAAGCTTTTCATTAATTATAATTTTTTACCTAATGCTAGAGAATACAGTGTCATTAGACTTACAATTACCTAGTTATTTTAATACAGTAGATATTATAGTTTAACAGTTTATTTATTTATATTCTACATATGTAAAACTTTACGCAAATAAAAATTATGTAGGTTTTTTTTATGAAAAATAATTTACCTAATAAAAGACATTAAAAAACTTCTATAAATACACGGTCAAAAATAGATTATGGTGTGGTTATGGTATATTTGCATAATTTCAGTATATGGGTCAGTTACAAGATGAAACATAACTTGGATGGACCACGATTGTTTATGATTTAGCCTAAGCCTATATTTGTTCAGTATATGGGAGCAAAACCACATAATTTAGATTACCAATAAAGGGCATTGTGAATGCTTTCACAAACAAATTGATTTAATTTAAATTTAAAAAAAGAACATATTAGTATTTCGGTATTTCGTCGATGTTGTGGAGCTTTTAGATTTTTGTATATTCTATAGAAATCTTCTAAATATCCTCCTCATCCCTCTATTCATATTACGTACGAGGATAATATTTATTTCATAATTGCATCTGCTCCGTACAAATTTATTTTTATTTCATAAAAAATGGAACCATTTGGTAAACTTGTTTGTTTTCATCTGTGTATAAATAATTACTGAAAACAAACGTATTAAATTAATGAAATAACTTTCTTCAATTAGTTTCTTACGTCAGTATTCCTAACAATTTTTCACTTATTTTAAATGTTTAAAGGAATTTTCCAGCATTCTGTACACCAACATGTACATTTCCTACTTTTAAGTACCCTTTAATTTAAGTATTATTGGACCATTTCGATTTAAACAGCTGCCATACTTATAAGATCGTTTTCTGAGACTTAGTTTGTACCTTTTTTATTGTTACAAAAAATTGTATAAGCTTGCAACCGTAAAAAATTAAGAAACAAACATATTAAATAGCTTCATGGATAAACAGAAAAAAAATGCTTAAATTTTGTACTAGAATAATATTAAATTTGGTAATTACAGAGATAAACATTTTACCTAAAACTTATTACAATAAAATAACTATATATAAGTATACTGATGTATAAGATGATTTTTGTTAGCCGGGAAATGATAC